GATTCGGTGGTATGGGTTGTTGGAGGGGTCGGAAGTCCACAAAGCGGTGTTCTTGGATGAGAAGGGAGAGGAGATGGATGGATGGGCACACGTGGAAGAGGGTTGCAAGGTCGGTCTGGCTCAGGTACCAGGGTAGCGGCTCTTCAGCAAAAATATCCAGGTATGTTCAAACTTATGCTCTGTACTGAACCACCTGTCCAGGCTGTCCTTACCATGCGGAGAATTGACGGCAAGAAAAACCGGGGATGGGAGTTTGGTGGCTGCCCAGGCCTCGCGGTCGCGTTTGGTCATGGATGGGGTAGACGGACGACCTTGGACGGAGACTTCAAGGAGCTCTCCAAATTTTTCTTGCTCTGCGTCAGTGAATTGGTAGTACTGGGAATTGGGAGGCAGGGCGGACCGGTGGTGTGCTGAGGGCGTTGCCGAAGGTTGGCTCGGTGGAGGGGTGGAGGTGGAAATGTGGAGCAGGTTGGGTTGGTTCGACATTGGTGGCTGGGTCAGTTGGTAAACGAGGCTGCTTGGGTGAGGGATGATGCATGTAGAGCACTCAGGAAGGAAGTGGAAAGTAAGTCACTGACGGGTTGAATGGTGTTTAAGTAATGGAGTTGGTGGAACTAACCATGAGGCTTTGGGGCCGAACGGGTCACCCCAGGGGTTTTTTCAATGAATTTTTCAAATGCCTGGGTGTCGGCAGATCCCATAGTTGCTGCAAACTGTTTGGTGTAATGGATATTGTGGCAGCGGGGGCGGTTGCAATGGTAGTTGGCAAATAGGAAATGGGAACAGAAGTCTGCCTGTTTGCCGGTAATGGGGTGTTTACATTTGAAAGGGGCAATTGGAAGTTGGCCTAGGCCGTCATACATCAGGTATCCGGGATGAGTTCCTTGAGGTGGGTGCTTTGCGCGTTTGGTTGGGTCAGGCCATTCACGGGAATTGGGGCTCTCACGTTTGGGAGCGGGGGTTGGTTTTCCAGTGAGAATAGCATGCAGGTTGGGGCATGTGCCGTATGGGCCAAGGTTGCCCATACTGATGGAGAGATTGATGTGGCTGATGGCTTGTGTGACTCCACTGAAAGCGTTCACGAACGTGTCTGCCATGATCGGTTGGCCATTACAAAGTTTACTTTGAGTCGTTTTGTTTTTGGCGGCTCCCACACAATGGGAGGTGTGGGACTACGGCATTGTAACGGATCCAATCTTTGGCAGCAGGTGTGTGGAGGGCGTTCATGAAATCCTCCAAGAGTGTGACAATTAATGGGGGGTCATCGAAGGTAAAGTCTTCGACACAGTATTTGACAAAGGCAAAGAAATTTGCTAACATCTTGATCAGAGCTTTGACAGAACTGATGTCGCCATGAACAAAGATGTCTGTCTTTTTCGCGGCTTGCTTGGACTTGTCTTCTTCCATGGCTTCCTGGCGGATTATGTCTCGGCCTTCCGAGAGGAAAGTGGTGTACCTGACATCATTTTTGTTCGGTGGGAGCCAAGCTAGGAGGCTGAGAAGTGAGGTGGCTTTGTGGGGGTGCATGGTGAGGGGGCGAACTCCAAAGCTGCATGTTTTGAGGGCAGTGACTGTAGCGTGTTGGAAGAGGGCAATATCGAAGTTGACGTTTCGGTCGTAATTGTTCCGAGTGGTGAGGGTATCGGTGATGTGGGCAAAGGTGTCATGGAGGTGGCGTAGGGCCTCTTTGATCGAACCGATTTCCAAGAATGTGACAAAGTCGTCAGTGAGGACGGATGGGTGGAATTCGTTGACAGTGGAGCCGTCAAGCTGGATGACCGGTTTGACTCGGCCAAAAATCAAGCTGAAAGAGTCTTTGGCACTGGCTGAAGTGCGGGCCAGATCTTTTTCCTTGGTGCTGGCATTGGCGCCTTTGAGAGCGTTGGCCATGATCTGGGCAAAAAGTTCGCTATCAAATGGGGCCCCTGCTGGAAGGGGGGCTGCTGGAGCTTCTTGGGTAGTGACATGATTAGTAGATGCTAAAGTAGAGAGGGCCAAGTGCTGTTTGAATTCTTCGAAGAGGGCTTTGTAGGTG